CTGCAGGATGTCTTCATCTTTCACTGTTATTTCCTGTAACATAAACTTCGGAATGTAATAAAAAAATAAAAAATTTTACATGAAACTCAAGTTAGCTAAATATGCAAAAAATACGGATTTAGAATTAATTTACAACTACTTCTACATAAAAATTAACATACTAAGATCAACTGTAATTTAAAGGCGATTTTTTCTCTCGCTATTTATCTGGCGATTTTTTCAGCTTCTCTGATCAGTGTTGCACTGCTCAGTGGTCACCTTACTGGCAATCCTGATGTTCGTCTCTCTTCTATTAAAGCATAAAAAGAAAATGATAAGGTAGAAAAAGTGAAGAAGGGAAGAAAAACGAAGTAAAAAAACAAAGTGGAAAAGGGAAATGGGAGTATGGAACGATCATCATTTTAATGATTTCCTGTAGGAGGAAAAATGACATAGTTTTAATCGTTTTAAGATGCTGTTGGTACTTGTGCTGAGCATCATCAACTCGTCTGGAATGCAGCCACTCCTAAACCACGATAGCGTACCAAGTCGATCAGGGCAGAAAGTTCAATGTTATTTTAAATGTTTTCGTTGTTCAAAGTTTTTTTTTTTTTTTTTTTGAAAATAAGCTTACTTTGATAAGTGGCTGTTCTGTATTTATGTGGACACATGGATTCAACTCCAGTCGTTTTGGTGGAGCTACTTGACCGGTAATTCGGGATTCACCCAACCCATTAAGCGCCGAACAAAGCGATGCTGCGCATGCATCTCGTCCGATCATCGGAAATGCCGGTGTCATTTTATCAACCAGATCCAGCCGATGCTGAATATGCTCATTCTTTTCCGGTATTATACGATCCGGATTACATACCGGTGCCATCGCATATAGGCCTTCCAGAGATTTCGCCCAGAAAAGCTAAAAATGCACCAGTTTCATCCTGGATTCATTAACAAAGGGCGACACTACTTCGAAAAACTTCACTATCTTTCTGATTAATATTTCAGTACACCAGTACATAACAACATATACTAAAAAAAAAAACGAATACATAATAGATACGCACTCATAAGCAAGCAGCATAATGACAATTTGCTGCGGACACACACACACACACACACATACACACACATACACACAGACAACTCCATGACAATATTCGTTTTTGTACTGCTGTTGCACAGCACAGAAAGTATAAAATATGTAGATATACGTGTGCGCTTAGACGTAAAAGTATATACTCGTTTGCACGTTAATAGACGGACTGCGCAAAAAATACATATAAATGCAGAAACATAAGTGCACGCTTATACATAGACGCACATGTACACACACATAAATATACATACATGCATACATACATACACGCGCACATACATACACACATACATACATACACACATACACGCGCACATACATACACACATACATACACACATTATATACATACATACACACATATATACATACATACACATACATACACAAACACACACAAACACATACATACCACAAACACATACATACCACAAACACATACATACCACAAACACATACATACCACAAACACATACATACCACAAACACATATATACCGCAAACACATATATACCACAAACACATACATACCACAAACACATACATACCACAAACACATACATACCACAAACACATATATACACAAACACATACATACACAAACACATAAATGCCACAAAACAAACACATACATACACAAACACATAAATGCCACAAACACATACATACACATACATACACAAACAAATACATACACAAATACACACACAGAAACACATACATACAAAAGCACATACATACACAAACACACACACACACACTCAAACACATACATACATACACAAATACACAGATGGTTGCACGTTTATGCATAAGCGCATACATGCATACACGTGTGACGTATATGAATGCGTATTTGTTCGAAGACAAACACACACGTACGTGTGTAGGTGTGTACATGTAGCAAAACCGCACAGACCCATATGTGAGTGTATACTTCACCAGTGATCACAAAGAGATCGGAGAAAGGAGAAAAATCTCTCGCTCACCTGTCGTGGCTTATCGCTTCGGCCGTTCAGTGCCTTTGCCCGTCGCAATTGCTCATTGGTTGGATTCTTCGTCTCACGGCTTGTCGTGTGTACCAGCGTGACCGGCTGTTTGAAGATCGAGACCGTTTTGCGCCACGGTGGAATCAGCGAACCATCGAAGCCGCTTTTGGCGATCGCTGCTGCTGCTGCCCGATCTTTGCCACCACGTGAACCACGCTTCGTCACCGATAGGTTTCCCGCTTCCGAACCTTTTGTCCGACCCATACACACACACACACGTACGGCAACAATCCAGAACAAACTCCTGAACAATTAACTTCATTTACTAACTC